ATGCACCAATACAAAATGTAAAAGGAGGAAAAAATAAACAAATTAATACTTATCAATATTTCCCAGTAAGCATTGCTTCAATTTTTTATGCTGCTAAGTTTTGTCATACCTTTTTTTTCTTTTTTCTTTTTGTTGGCAATGCTGGGTGGGGATCAACCTAGGATCTTGAATATTCTAGAATTTTTTTCAACTAAATAAAATTCAAATCTAAGATTTGTGACAGGTTACTCATTATTCCTTTTAAAACATGTTATTTATTACTACAAACTAGATAAGTGGTTTTTCCTAAGCAGGTAGTTACCATAATTAAACTTCTGAGAGGCTTTCCCAACCTATCTTCTTAGAAACCAATTATGATCTTTTTGTGTGAATATTTTCATTTTCAAAAAGAAAGGTCTTGTAAGATATTCCAATTAGGGCTGGGGATATGGCTCAAGCGGTAGTGCCAGGCATGCGTGTGGCCCGGGTTCGATCCTCAGCACCACATACAAACAAAGATGTTGTGTCCGACGAAAACTAAAAAATAAATATTAAAAAAATTCTCTCTCTCTCCCTCACACTCTCTCTTAAAAAAAAATTTATATATATATAAAAGATATTCCAATTATTAATTCTTACTTAAACATTATCAACTAAGATGTTGATACTAAATAAAATACTGGGAGAAAATTAAATGAGATAATAATGATAATAAAAGGCCATCTAGCAGGGCATGGTGGTACATGTCTATAATTCCCAGCAACTCAGGAGGCTGAGTCAAGAGGACTGCAAGTTCAAGGCCAGGCTCAGCAATTTAGCAAGACCCTATCTCAAAATGAAAAAATTAAAGGAGGGGCAATTTAGCAAGACCCTATCTCAAAATGAAAAATTAAATGGTTAAATGCCCCTGGGTTAAATACCTGGTACCAAAAAACCAAAAAAAACTATACTTTGGAAATACTACCACTTTTTATTCATGTGTAAAATTCACATGGAATTTAACATTTATAATTATGTTGTTACTTAAGCCAAAAACAATGTAAATGAAGGATGAGAAAAATTGAAAATAGATTTCATATATACTGGCTGGGTGCGGTGATGCATGCCTGTAATCCTAGCAGCTCAGGGGGCTGAGGCAGGAGGTTCTCAGGTTCAAAGTCAGCCTCAGCAACTTTGAGGCACTAAGCAATTCAGTGAGACCCTGTCTCTAAATAAAATACAAAACAGGGCTGGGGATGTGGCTCAGGGGTCAAGTGCCCCTAAATTCAATCCCTGATACACCCCACCCCCCCAAAATAGATTTCACATATAGCCAAGTCTCTGTTTTTAGTATCTCAACCTAAAGAAACAATTTTTTGTTCACTTAAAGCTTAAAGTAGTCTTCAAACACAGAATTACTACATTCATTAACATTCACTCTAGGGACCATTAACATTCACTCTGGGGGGCTTTTTGGTGCTGGAGATCAAACTCAGAGCCTTTTGAAAGCTATCTTACACAGTCTTCTGCTAAGCAATAACTTCAACCCATATTTTTCAGTTTTTGTAGATAGGATTCATAGTCTTGGTGAATGTCAACTGACATCAGACTGCCATGAAATCATGTACTTCACTTGAAATGTAAACAGCCCCACAAACCAAGTAACATCTCAGAGCACTATAGATTTATCATCCTTTTGTTCTTTTCTTCTTTTAAATACTAAAGCATCTTATGTACTTTAAACCACATTAAAAAAAAAAAACAATCAGCTTGGCAAGGTGGCACAGGCCTTGTAATCCTAATGGAAAGCTGAGACAGGAGGATCACAGTTCAAAGTCAGCCACAGGCAAGGCGTAGCACTTAGCAATTCAGTGAGACCCTGTCTAAATAAAATACAAAATAGGGCTGGGAATGTGGCTCAGAGGTCAAGTGCCCCTGAGTTCAATCCCCAGTACCCCCCCCCAATAAGTCTAACATATTAATCTAGCCACTACCAACACTACTTCAATTTAAGTACAATTTGCCTTTTTCTACTTTATTCAAATACCACAAGCAGTTTCCCATGTTAACTCTTTTTTCTTTTGGTACCAGGGATTGGATTCAGGAGCGCTTAATCACTGTACTACCCAACTCTTTATATTTTATTTAAAGACAGGGTCTTGCTAAGGTGCTCAGGGCCTCACTAAGTTGCTGAAGTTGGCTTTGAACTTGTGATTCTTCTGCCTCAGCCTCATGAGCTGCTGGGATTACAGGCATATGCCACTGGGCCCAGTTCTATGTTAATACTTTCCTGAAGGCCTTATTTAAATGACTGAGTAAGATTTTATTTGTGGTATTGGGGATATAGCTCAGTGACAGAGCAAGTATTTATTAGCATGTGCAAGATGTACAAGGACCTAGGTTTAATCCCCAGCACTGGGGTGGGTGGGTGGGATTTTATTAGTAGCTTAGTCATATTTATTTAATTAGTTAAATTATACTCTACTTTGGAAGGCTAGATTATTATTTTTTTTTAATTTAATATTTATTTTTTAGTTTTCGGTGGACACAACATCTTTGTATGTGGTGCTGAGGATCGAACCCGGGCCGCACGCATGCCAGGGGAGCGCGCTAACGCTTGAGTCACATCCCCAGCCCAGGCTAGATTATTTTAAGTTATTACAAAATGTTACAAGTAACATATTTGCCTATTGTTTTCCTTATACTATTATTTCTTTTCCTTAGAATGCTCAGTTTTAAATTCTTAACATTTTGTGGGCTTAATATACAATTCTAAATTGCTACCCAATGTGCACTGATAATGTACAATAGTGCCACTGCACATTCATCAATGGATATTGGTATTATACTCACACTTTACTAGACTTTTCTAGCATAAGAATTTTTTCATGTATTAAAATAAGACCTTTCTGAAAAAATGCAAGTTGACCTTTAACTCTACACCACTAGGTGGAGCTAAAATTACAACCATACTTAGAATAGTACCCATATTTTTCCCACACCACCATTCCTAAAATACCATAGGGAGTTTTCCTTCAAGTGATAATTATTTTAAATATGAAAGTTGAAACCTGACAGATTTTTTTTAAGAAATATGCATTTCTCAAAGAAGCTGGTAATAAAGACAGTTGTGCCAGAGAAACAGTAACATCCTTGTACAGTTTTCATGTTATAACGTTTCCTATATCAGTTGAAAAATAAATTTAAGAGAAAAAAAGAAAAGAAAGAAAGGGGCTGGGCTAGTGGTACAAGCTCGTAATCCCAGCTATTTGGGAGGCTGAGGCAGGGAAATCAAGAGTTCAAGGCCAAGCTGGAAGCAGTAGCACAAACCTATAATCCTACACACAGCCTGGGGAGGCTGAGGCAGGAGGATCACAATTTTGAGACCAGCCTCAGCAATTTAGCAAGGTCCTAAGCAACTTAGTGAACACTGTCTCAAAATAAAAAATAAAAAAACTGGGGATATATAGCTCAGTGGTAAAGCGCCCCTGGGTTCAATCCCCAGTACCAAAAAAAAAMCCCCCCAGAGTTTTCAAGGCCAGTCTCAGCAACATGGCAAGACTGTCTCAAAACCAAAATCAACCAAAAACTAACAAAAAGAGAAATAGTAACATCTTCTTTTTGTGTTTTTAAAGGGGACTGTGAGAGTGTGGCTCAGTGATATTGCACATGTCTCACATAAGTGAGGCCTAAGATTCAATCCCTAGTACCATCACCATTAACAAAAAATATATATATTTTTTAATTTAATAAAGTATTCTATTTTTATCACAAGAGCTGCAGGAAATAGAGGACAATCTACAGGCCTATGATCTACAAACAGTGACAACTTTAAGAGGACTGCTAGGCAGGTATTAACAGTGTCCAAAAGACTTGAGACTATACCAGCTGTTGGGAATTTAGAATTCTGGAACATAGCTCTGAATCCTGGGTACAACTGATATTCTACCATTTCTTATAATTTCCCAACACACACACACACACACACACACACAC